ACTATAATTGAAATGAGAATTTATTAGAATTGAAACGAGATGTTAACATTCTGTTTGATTAGAGACAAAATGCATGCAGGAAAAGAAGATGATGGAGAAAGGGTTATTTTTACTTTTCGGATTGAAAGGATGAGAAGAAATATGCTATTTTTATAAACGGAAAATGAAAGAAAAAGACATAATGATTCATTGAAATGCATAGCCAATTTTGAACTTCAAATTCTTACTTATCCATATTATTTGTCATTCTCTCCTGGCCACTAACAAAGTGCTCGAAACTGATAAAATCATCAATCAGCACCAAGATTAAAGAAGATGCCTTTCAGAAGAGGACGGCCTGGCAGTGGCATCCTTGAAGATCGATTTGATGGGCTAAAAGCCTAAATCCCCTTCTGCATTACATGACCAGATTGGACCACAGCCCTAATTGCAAACCCAAGGGATACCGATCAACAACCATTTGGGATTAGGAGTTGACCACTACCTAATTATTACTAGTTGTTAACTTTGTAATTGTACCATTAGTTCTATACATTATCCTCAGCACCTCAAGATCATGCGTGCCATAGCCCACAATCTTTTCAACACTTTTCAGTCTAAGCAATGCTTTAGGTATATATTAACTAGAAATTAGTCAAATTACTAAACAAATCCGTTATGGGGTTTATATTTAATGTATTATTAATATATAAATTTTATATAATATTAATAAATTAAATAATAATAATTTATTAATAAGATGAATTAAATAATAATATTTTATTAATAAATAAGTTATTTTAATTTATATATATTTATTTTAAGAATTAATTTATTAATATATTAATAAATTATCATCATATAATTTATTGATAGTATATAAAATTTATACATTAATAATATATTAAATATAAATTTTATATAAATACATACCAACTAAATTATGAACACATGAAATGAACAAAAAAAAAAAAAAAAGAACACAAGATAAAACTTGAATTATCATTCATTTTTTTATTGTGAAAAGTGAGGTTCAAATTTAGATATAGTCTTCCATTTTTATTTAGAACTATCTAAATGTTACGTGTTTTAATTTACAAATCTTGTTAATTTTTCACTTAAGTTGTGGTCCATATATATCAATATAAGTAAGGGCAAGGCTCAATTTTTTTGGTGCACTAAGGAGAGGACAAAATGAGCTTGATTGAAGCTGAAGGTGGGAGAGTGAGCCTTCGTGTTGCAATCTCCTAACAAAACCGTGTGAGACCGGACTAGCTATCTATGGTATGTGTGAAAAAAATTTAAATAAATTAAAAATAGATTTAAAATTATAGTGTTTGATTCAATTTGAATTAAGTTATTTATTTATTTATTTTAAATTACATTCAAATATTAAATATATATTAGATTTAGATCATATTTCAAATCGAAAAATAAAAAGCTAAAAAAAATCAAATCAAATTAAATTATTAGATGTACTTTCATAAAATTAAATAATATCATCTCATTAATTCATAAATATCAATTCTTAAAATAAATATACAAAAAATTAACATATTTTTAAAAACTTACTCACTCATGAGGTGATTTATTTAAATTCATTGACAATGTATAAGATTTATATATCGATAATATATTAAATATAAATTTATATGTATGAAAAAAGATCAATTTATACAAGTATAAAACTAAAGAGTTTTATAGTTTTTTTTAACTATTAATTTTAATAGATACAAGAGATGAAAAAAACAAGTAAAAAAAAAAAAAACTTAAATTTATCTTTTAAATCTATTAAAATCAATGATTAAATCAAAATAAAAAAAATATATAAAAATTTATTTTTATAACTTAATCTCTTCCCTATATATATACAGAGAAAAATTTTGTATAGTCAACAAGTTTCTTTTCTATGCATTTAAAGGTGAAACTCAACATTTTCTCCAATCATTATAACATTTATTTCTTTCATTTTCAACTTCATTCAAATGAATCAAATATATAAATGGTTTTCTTTTCAATTTTTTTATTCTCATCTCTAAATTTCATTATCAAACTTAAAAGTTTTAGATTATGTGGAAGGAAACCATCACTTAAGCATCGCACAGAATTGGCGTTTCATCAAACAAAAGTTGACCTTGACACCCAAACACAGTGAGTCGAAGTCCCAATCACACTAAAAGTACGAGCATCTTTCATATCGTCTCATCGTAATTTGACGTTGAAAATGAATTTTTAGTTGAAATTAAATGATTCCCTATTAATTTTGATGCAATGGTTTTGTGGACTGTGCTTTGCGATTATGATGAATCAAATTCATAATATTAATTTTGTAGAGAATGGGAACAAGAGGGTGTCCACGTGCTACTTTTGTTTTTATTAAATTTATTTTTTATTTTTTTATTTTTAATTTGTTGTTAAATAAATTTTGTAAAAAAAAAATCCATGGAGGCAAAAATGATAAAAAAATCTCGATTGGTTTTAATTCGTACCGATCCAACATAAATATATTTCTTAAACAAAAGAAATAAAGATTGGATCGAGGTTTTCTCTTGAAAATGAGATAGAGTTGAAAATAAATTTAAGGTGTTTCATCTCGTCTTGAGTGTTCACGTGACACTTTCATTATTTTTTTTTATTTTTTTTATTTTTTTAAAGCTTTTTCTTTTTTGGATTTTTTAAAAATATTTTTTACTTTTGTTTTTATTAGATAAATTTTATAATAAAAAATTTATTTGAGATAGAGATGACAAAATAATCTGTATTTCATATATTTCGATTTACTTTAATAATTTTAGTGTACTTTCTTTTAATTCGGAATAATTGTGTTAAATTTTTTTTTTTTTGAATCAAGCCCAGATCATAGCAAGATTTTAGGTATTATACCTCAATCTTGATATCTATAAATATATATTTTATTATTTATTTAATTTTATATTTATTTATACTATTAAAAATATTATTTAATACCTTAATTTATTATTTCACTTGCCATTTCATTTGGTTTTTTGTCATTTTTTTAAAATTTTTATTAGATAAATTTGTAAAGAAAAACTCAATAGATGTAAAAATGATAAAACAACCTATATCCGATAGATTTCGATTTGTCACGATCCAATTGATATATTTTTTAAAAATAAAGATGAGGTTAAGTTTTATCTTTTTGAATAATTTTGATCAAGTCGATACCAGGTTTGAAGTGCTTTGTCACAACCTTTCTCGGGATATATAAAAGAACATATTTAATTATTTATTTAATTTATATTTACATATATTATATTAATAAAGATATTATTGAATATTTTAATTTAATAAAAAACTATATTTATATATAATTAAGTTATAATTTATATTAAAAAATAAATATACTTATATTTGTCTATAGTAATGTTATTAATGAATTGAACCGAGCTGTGTTTTGGCTGAATCTATATTTAGTATTAATAATTTATATATTTGTTCAAACCAGACGCCTCAAATTTTTCTAAGGTTGGTCCAAGTCGAAAAATAAATTTCGACCTCACCCATTAAGCCTAATTTGTATAATAAAAAAATAAAAAATAAATTATTAAAATAAAATTTCACATATATAAATATATATACTTATATAATTATAATATTTTAATTATATATTTTATTTGGATCAAATTCAAACTTTAAGTTTTTTATTCAAGGTTCGGATCAAAATTTAAACGAATCTAAAAATTATCTCTAAATCATTTTAATGGACCTTAATTTTTTTTTGTCTAAGTGCTCTCAAAACTTGAACAAACTTTAATGCATAAGCAGGTAATTCAACTCTTTAATAAGTCTAAATTATATGTTATCTATTAAAATTGAGTATAAAAATTTTATTTTTATCATATTTAAAACGTAATTTTAAAAAATAAAAGATTATCTCGTAATAAAGCATGGGTTTAATTCTAATTTGATATAAATTTTGTTAGACATAATGATCTGGGTATTCATATTTTGTGAAATATTAAATTTATATATTTATATCATATTTTATATGAAAATTATTTGTCATAATTTATATTAACATAAAAATATAAAATAAAATTTTATAATTTTATTAAATTTATATATAATTATTATTAAAATTTTAAATTATATTATATTTATATATATTTTTTATTATATTCGTATGATATTTTAAATTATTTAATTTAAAATTTTGTATAATCACATGGGATGCCATGCTAATGGACCACTTCAATTCCACTTAAGAAAGAATTAAAAAAAAATTGAAACAAAAAAGAAAGAAAGAATTAGTTGAAATGTTTGACCAAACTACCATACTCCAACCAGAAAGGACGACTTCTTTTTGTAGGGTATGGTTGTGGGCGCATCAAAAGCGAAAAGCAATGGTAGCTGCTTTTGACTTCAGCTTTCCCCTCTTTTCTTCTCCTTTCACCTCCAATAAAAATAAAGTTTCAGATGTTAACAATTGAAAATTTTTGCTACGTTAAGCATTCTGCGGTAATGTTCGAGTATATAAGTTTCTTGTTCTGCTATATGTTTTAATTGATTTCTTCCAGGATGATAGTGATGGTTTAATATAATTTATGAGCAATTTTAATCGCTCGTCGGCATAAAAAAATCTTATACGTAAAAGAGTTCAAAAAAACCCACCAATTAGAAAGACAATGTTCTTCCAAAAAGATGTCCCATCTCTCATTCTCATCATCTTTCTTCCATAACTTTTTTTAATTTTTTTATTAATAAATAATTTATTAAAATTTATTTAAATTTTTTTTTAAATTCAAATATTATCAATAATCACTTGTTAAAATTATTTTAAATATATAATTTATAATCATTTATCTTAAACTGTCATATACGATAAATTTTATTTTGATTTAAAAAATTAAATAATTTATCTACTCATAAATTTTTTTTTACAAAAAAAAAAACTTTTTTTTCCTTTGCGAGGAAATTCATTGGAGAAATGTCTTTGTCTAAACCAAAAATCTAATTAAAGGTGAATTAAAGGTGAATGAGTAATGAGCAATGAACTCCTTTTCAATCTTTTTTCTAATCATAATATCCTATACAAATTACAAACCAAAGAAAGACGACAAACGCAAATAATTGCCGGTTCTACGGACAATCAAAAACCAACACTAGGAACAAAAGAAATAAATACTATTATTACATTTCATGAATCATATCGATCCCTTGTCGCTTTGCAATATAGACATTTCAACTTTGAAATGGAGCTTTACAACAAAACATAACGGAGATGAAGAGAATTAAATATCATGTGACCACCTTTTTTTTCCCTCGTTTTCCTCTTCAATGTCTCCTTTATCCTGGATTGGCCTTATTTTCTTCTTTTCAAAACTATAGGAAGTTGGATAGACTTGGCTTTTAATGGGGGCATGATCCTTTTATCAGGGGAAAATCACTAGGTAAAATATCATAGCTGAGATAGCTCCAAAAATTTTGGAACCTTTGGCAAATTTTTTGTACGAAAATCTTCTTTGCCGGAAAATCCTCATGTTAACGTAATCCGATCGTGATCATTGGCCCCAAACCTGAACACACGTATCGTAAATTCCCCTCAAATTCTGGCTTATGGCTTACCGTGGAAGAAAAAACTTTACAATCCTAGAAGAATGTAGTACACGAGCGTTATCGGTAATGCTATCAGCATCCCAAAGATAACCCTGCAAATTTAACAAATTCAGACATCAGCTACTGATAACAGAGTTGTTTACGATTTACAATATAGAATTGAATTGTTCTAGCAATTCAGGTTTTACTTACGCAGTACTGAGAATTGCCGGGTGAACATTGTACTCTTTGGCAAACACAAACGGTACAATTCCTTGTGGCAGAGCGGCCTGTTAATTGGACAAAATTAGCTAACAGTATCAAACAACCCAGAATTGTTACAGTGGAAAGTGAGTTCTTTTACCTGAACAATGGCGATGCGGAGGAGTGTGCCGCGCAACCCTACTGCGATTGAAGCGGCAGCCATGACAGCCGGACCGGTCAAGAACCTAACTGCCATGGCAAAGGCGGCAACCTTGTTCCCACAAGCGATGATCTTGGGTTGCAGAGCCATGAACAGACCTTTCATCATATGAACATTCAACAATTAGGACTTTCCCTAGAAAACGATAAATATCATTAAAACCCTCAATCTTTCAATCCAACTACTTTCACTAACAGGGGCCAACCGATGCCCACCGACCCTGGACCGCTAGGCAAGGTCGCAACACTACCCCACATGCCGGCAGGTCAATCCCATTTCCAGTTCAAAGATTAACCATCAATTTCTTGCAATAACAAAGGTCACATGAAATTAAAAAATTATAAAAATAAAATAAAAAGGTGCATGGCTGCAAGCTGTGCAACCATGTCGTTGCTTAGACAGGGTATACATCACTACCCAACTACACGCCTTGCCAGACCTTGTTTTTAGGTCAAGTGCGCTTTCATCACTTGGACTTATTCACATAACAGGGTAGTGCTAATATTTCTTGAGGATGAAGCAAATAACAGAAATGCTCACCCAAGCTAAACATGGCCATTCCTAGTCCAGCATCTGACAGGATGGAGATAGACTTCTCTATTATTTTCGGCATACTCACATGCCACCTGCAATTAAAACCCCAAAGCAGTCAATTTATGACATCTGAAAATACCCAAAAATAAAGGGAACTTGTTGAATAAAGTTTGAACCTTTGTTATTAAACTTACTGCCAAATGATCAACTAACCTAAATGCAATTAGGGACCAAACAAGACCAATGAGGCTGGAATATGTGTTGGGGTTTCGGATAAGCTTGCGCCAGACCATGATCAAGATCAGGCGGGTCATTACACTCGCCGGGGGCATTTGTTTGCCACCAACCAAATCCGGTGCTCCGGCGGCTTTAGGGTGCAGCTCAGCCGTTGAACTTGACCCCAACTTATTGAGTCCAGTCGGCCCTTCTTTTTCTCTCTCCTCCTCCCCATCTCTTCCAGCAAATCTAAAGTCCTCCCTATTAAAGTCACCACTGGCTGGCATAGCTTCAAACCAAAAGCAACAATTTTATTAAATATTAGTAGTTTTAAAAAATTTTAAGAAATTCGAAACATTGTAGTACTAATCTAATACTACATTAACTTTAGTAGTAATTGTTAACTAATTAGATGAATTAATTAATCAATTAACTTATTTTACTTTTGTTTTCCCCGTTTTGAGGGTGATCAGCAACCAACATCCTGATCTCTTTAGCTCCCTGATCAGACCGTCCAGATTGCTCGGACGCTCCGAAATCTGTCCCACCAAAGGCGTGAAGTCCACCGCCTTCTGATGCCGGCGAAGCACTGGAACTCCACACAAACATGTGCAATTCCTTTGCATCATGATTCACTTTATTATTCTCCTTCTGCTGTTGAACTTCTTGTTGTTGCTGTTGCTGCTGTGGCTGGCTGTTTTTACTGTTCTTTGTCACGGACGAAAATTCAGGATTTGGAGCAGGGTACGTTGTAGGAACTGTCTGTGCTGGATAAAATCCAAATCTTGGAGACATGACGTTACAGTTTTCTTCAAAATTTGATGGTCTTGGAGTTGGTCCTCTTGAGGATTGAACAGAGTACAAATCAGCTGGACCAAAATTAGATTGCCTTCCAGGAAATCCTTGAATACCCATCATTGAATAAAAGTCTGAGTTGTTAAAATTCGAACCTCTTGGAGTCGGATTCCGAGACGAGCTCACGCTGTATATCTCAGCTCCAGTAAGGTTCGATGGCCTCGGCGTCAATGCAGGAAGCGAACAAGGCCCAAAGGATCTCCTGGAAGCATTAGATTTCCTCACAGTAACGTGAAGCTTCCCGTCTTCGCCAATTTCAGCGTCTGTTTCAAGAAAATCACCGCCATCAAGTGAAACAACATCGGAATCAACTTTAAAAGAAACTATGGAAGCTGCAGTTTCCGGAAACTGCTCCATGATAAGTATTTTGGCACCACGGTACTCGAAAAGGAAAAGAAGAAGAGTGTACCAAATAATACACTGGAGAACCACGACCTGAACCATTAGCATTCCCGAGTACTGACCGTACATAGCGATTAATAGAGGAATGCCCATGACCAGAGTGTTGGGAAGAGTGGATAAAGAGAAATTTGTGATCATCCATTCCAGGCTTCCATTCCTGGTGAAATTAGTCCACAACCCAAGAACAAATAACATGATGATTTTCTGAAGAGTATCGGCAGCTATGAACCTGAAGTTCATGGCGTAAGGGTCGTTGGTGGAAATGAAATGGAAAGACAAGAGAGGAACAGCAAAAATGGCGACAAAACGATTGATTCCAGAGCACTGGTCAGGGGAGAAAATTTTCCACCAACGTACAGAACCGTAAGCTAAGATCATAGCCACGTACAGTGGGATCACCGCTGTTAAAACGGTGTAAAGATCCTTCCAACTAATCATCTTTCTTGTTTTTTTTCTTTCAGTTTTATGTGAAGCTGAAACGGTAGAGGTACCTGGAGAAGATGTAGAGGGTTTTACTTTTAAGGTTGGTTTTGGAAGTAGGAGAAGAAGAAGAGCATTGAAAGCGAGAGGGATGTCATGGGGATAGTAAAGAACTGTTACTTAACTAACTTAAAACGGATAAAATCTTAAGTGTGTTTCTCTGACAAGTGCTGCTGCTGATACTTGTTCATATACTGCAAATTTTCTGATATATTGGGAATCAGAGAGGGAGAGAGAGAATAAGAGGACTCCAGAATATATTAATATATAGGGGGAGAGAGAGAGCAAAGAGGAAAGGGAGAGAATAGAAAAGAATAGAAGGGAGGTGGGGGATTACATTGTTGTAATGAAAAGAAGGGGATTAGTAGTGAAGTGAAGCTGGGTTGGGTTAACAAGTAACCACCTTATGTGGTTAAGTTAACTAGAGAGTATGGTTACATAAGTATAGGTGGCTCTCGTCTTGTGGCATGGCTTTCTTCCTGACGTGGACACCCTCCCTTCCTTTTTCTCACTTGAACATTTTGGTTTTTCCATCTAATTCTAAATTCTCCCAAAATTTATTGGCAAAATACTCCAAAATTTGTAAAAAACTCACGTTTTATATTTTATAAAAAAAATCACAAGAAAATAAAAAATTTACAAATACTAAATTTTAATTTTAATTTATTAAATATTATATTTTAAAAATAAATTACATAAATCAATTAAGTTATAAATTTTGAATTCTTTTTGATAATGCTTATTTTTATAAAAAAATTTATAAATACTAAATTTAAATTTATTAAAATTATATTTTAAAAATAAATTACATAAATCAATTAAGTTATAAACTATGAATTATTTTCTGATAATGCTTTCTTTTCTACTTATGTTAGCTTCGGTCAAGAGCTGATGGAGGGTTGAAAATGAATTTATCTGGATATTGGGTTTCTTTCAAATTCACCAATGCATGCTTTTTTGAATGAAGTCTCTGTAAAAGCATCTTTCTTACTCCGATCCAAAATCGATCTGTCAAGTCAAATCCTGAAATCCTTGAGATCTTGTGAGTTTTATTATTATTAATATTATTTCAATTGTAAAATTTGATTGCATGGTCAATATTTTCAAGATTGTACATAAAGAACAGAGGGGAGTCACGAGTGAATCCATGCGGTTGTTGTCTCTATCTTTGACTTGGGTTTAACAAATACATCTTAGCCAACGAGTTAGTCCTTAACCAAATCTCAATCTTAGTAGAAATGATAATAAATAGTAAATAAATAAATATTTATTATTATTTGATTAGTTTATTTTATATTTGAATAATTATAAATGAATAATTAATATATTCAAATAATTATTTTATGATTTGTGATAGATTCAAAATAGATATAAATATTATTATTAGATATTTAATATCTAAATCTATTTAAATTTTAATAAATAGTAATTGATATTTGAATTCATATTTGAATCTGTTACCCATTTACATATATAAAATATATAAAATTTATACTCGTAAAAAGTTTCAGACTTTCAAAAATAATTTTTATTTATTATTAATTAAGAATAAACTTAAATTTTAAATTAAATTAATGTTTATTTTTTATTTTGACAAAATTATAAATAAATAGATATTTAAACAGATAATGTATATTTAAACGGATTCAAATTTAATAGTAATATTAAACTTAAACAAATATTTAAATAAATTTAGACATTATAAATAAAATAAATTCAAATACGAATATATAAAAAATTACGAATATCCATTCCATTATCATTCCTAAATCTTAATTATATATAATCATCAATTTACTCCCATCGTTTATCTGTTTATCTATATTTCAACATTTGAGCTCTTTTAATGTTTTTTTTTTTTTTGAGAAATGATAGTTCTATTATTTCTAAATATTTTTAAGAAAAATTTATGTACACATAAAAAACGTACAAATAATTTATTTTTTCTTACATCAATTTTTTTAATCTGATAAAATTTTATATTATTCTTTTATTTTTCAAAAATATTATCTGAAAATAGTTATAAGTACATATGTATATATCTCTTTTATGTATATCTATATTCATATTTTAATGTTTATAAAAATGATCGGTTGAGCCAAATCTTTAATTTGTAATTAAAAGAAAAAAATTTCTCATTCTATTGTTAATTCTTCCATCACCTTGCCAGTAAAGGAGTTCAATGGGCTGGGCCCATATTAATCCTCCTTTTTAAAATCTAAGCTTGAGCGCAATCCAATCGTTCATTCACTTATTATTTTATTATCAAAATAGTATTAATATTTTAAAATTAAGATTTAAATTAAATAAATGATTTATTTATTATAATAATCAAATCAAGTTGGGTAGCATCAATCATTTGGGCCTAAAGCTATGCCGAAGCGAGAGAAGCTAGCCCGCATGGCCCATGGGTGGATACTAAGTAATCCGTTCCTCCAAACCTCTGCTTGTCAATTTAAAGAGAGTTAAACATTTTTGTTGTTATATTAACCGTTATTATAAATTCACATAGATTGGATTGATTTTTGATTGAACGCAAGATATTATTTGATAATTTAATTTAATTACTTAATAAATAAGAAAACTTGTTACTTATGATAAATTAATTGGTTTATAAATATTAAGGAGTCTTAATATATAGTAACTGGTAAATATGAGAAAAATATGGAAAGATAATAATAAAACTAGTTTTAAATCCATGTTATGCACGTACATACAAATTAATTATTTTTCTACATACACCATTATTTAAAAAGTAAAGAATTATTTATTAAAAAATAATATTTTTATTTTAAAAAATAGTATATTTGTAATTTTAATAAGAAATTGTATTTTTATAATAATATATAGTATTAGAAATCTCATTTTGTAATATAGATGGTGTATATATATATGTATATATATGAAAAGAGATCAACTTATACTAATATAATTTTTTTTAATTATTATTTAATAGATCCAAGGAATGAAATTAAACTATTTTTTTATTTATCTTTCTCATCCTTTTGATCTATTAAAAGTAATTATTAGAAAATGATGTAAAAAAGTTTAAAACTTTTTTGATATAACTTTATCCTTTTCATATATATATTCGAAAAAAAAAAAACTATAAATGAAAGGCAAAAATATAAAGCAAAAGTAAAAAAAAAAAAAATCTATGTTTTCTTTTCTATTTCATGGAATTTGATATTTTTATCTTGTTGTATTATAAGAATTTAAGATACAATATTTTGAAATCAAAGAGAGATTCATGCAAGTAAGAAATTTAAGCCAATAAAAAAAATAAATGACTTAAGATCATTAAGAATGAATAAATCATAAATGGAGTTTGATTAAATGTACATAAAGAAAAAACAAAAGAGAAGTAATAGCAAATACTATAAAGTAAAAATATTTATTAGTTGAAAAAAAAGTAAACAAAAGAGAAACAATACATAAAGTAAAAACAATACATTTTTATTATTAACAGTGATTAAAAATTTAAATTAAACTAAAACTAACTAAAAGTAAAAATAATTGGTTATTGTATAAAAGATTCAATAGAGTTTTTTGAGTAAAGATTTACCTAATCATAAATAAATAAATGCATTTGAAGGGTTTTAGTGAACCTTTGAATAATTTTATAATAGAGAAGCTCTTGAAAATTTTGGAATAGTTTAAGCAAATCAATTACAATAGGTTATTTAATTATCAACATGTTTTTAACTTTTATTTTAAAAAGTATGCATTTTATATTTTAAAAACTTTTGATTATGAGTAAATTATGCCTTCAAATTAAAATGTTTTAAATAGTAATTAATCACTAGTAGTATGATTTCTAAAAAAATATATTTGTATATAGCAGAAAATATATTTAAAAATAAATAAACTTTTATTTTTATTTGAATTCTTGATATTAAATGATTTATATATTTATTCAGGCTGATAAATTACCTTATTAAATTTCAAACTTATATTCATTAGTTGGAAAGTTAATGTAAAAAATGGTGGATTGACAATGAAAACCTATCATATCTCAAAAAATAGAATTGAATATTGAAAAGTGAATTTTTTTTTCACAAATATAATTCAAAGTTAAATATTTATAATTGAAAAAAGTTTTAACAAAATTATTCAATATGTTAATGATGGTAATTAAACTTTTATTACCTTATTTATAAATTTAATTGAGAATGAATTAAGATAAATAAAAATAAATTTATTTAATTTAGTTTTTTTGAATTATTGAAATGTATTTATAAGATAACACATGTTAATTTTTTAGATTATCTACATATAACAAATATAAAGATTATTCATGTCATATTATTTCTTTTTTGTTAAAGACATTGACTTTTATATATTTATATAAGATTTACGATAATAAATTTAAATATTTTGTAGTTATGTGCGTGACCGAGCGACCTTATACGTGTGAGTTTGTATTTAAGTATTTGTTTGTTAGTATTTTGTGAGTAGGTTAAATCACATTAAAACTTTTAATCTTGTCTCTTGTGTATAATTTATTACTCCATTATTCATTAAAAAATTAAAAAATGTCTGATACAATTCACTCATATTACTCAATCAAAATATTTTCCAGATATTAATTTTAATAAATATTCTCCAAAGGCGCAATGTAGAGTTAGGCCAACTAGACTACAGTAATTTTCAGTTTGCACCCAACCTTAATTTATGTCTTCTTGAAGTGTATATGCATTTGAAATTTCTTGTTCGGTTACTGATCATCTAATTCTTTGATTGAAAAGTTCCTATGACAAAGACATAACAGGAAAAAAAAAAAAGGTCCAAAGTGTGGTCACCAAAGAAAAGTTGCATGATAGAATCAATATATAGAAGAGAGAGAGAGAAAAAATGGTTTTCAAAAAAAAAAAATTATTGTCTAATGACAGCTCCATCATGCATGGAATTAAACAGACAAAACCCAGATTTTTTATTATTCACATAAAATATTTTATAATTTTTTTTTTTACAAATGAGATCACAATTTAATTAAAAATAAAAAATTATAGATATTAAAATTTAAATATTAAATTTATTAAATATCGCCGTTTTATCAAACTTTATTATGATATATAAAGATCATTAGCTTGAAAAATGAATTAATATCGCCCAATGACCTATTAAAGCAATGTATTTCCTTTGTGAAAGTTCTGTTTCTTTTACTTTTGGAGAAATGTTTTTCGTCCTTTTTCACATCTTGCTTCTCTACATAAATAAGTTTATCAGAGACTAATTAAATAATTAGTGACCACTACAAGCAAAATGAT